GTTGGGAATTGAAAAATAATATATTACAACCAATAAAGACTTTATTGCCACTAGCACCCGATAATCTACTAAACACAATCTTTTGTAATTGTACAAAAGGTTGTGGCGGTAAATGTGGATGTAGAAAGTTGGATTGAGATGTTCTAAAGCTTGTGGACATTGTCGTGGTCAGTCATGCTTAAACGCAGAGTCCACTAGTGAAGAAAGTGATGAAGATGTTGATTTAAATACAGCAATAAGTCCACTCGATGTTCCGTCAGCAACTTTTAATGAGGATATCGACGACGAATTAATATAAAAGAAAATTATATACAAATTTTTTTCCCTATTTTTCAATGTACAAATGAAACCATGCCATGGGGGAATCCATGTGAAAAAACACCCCTTACATTCTACCTCAAAGGTGATGCGGAAACGAGTGCATCATCATAATGTAGTCGCTTTCTCAGCGCTCTAGTCCGAAAACGGTTGACTTTACAGAAAAACGCAAGAGACATTTTTGTAGATAATCGTATGAGAAATAATTTTTATAATGACCTTCATTGACCTCCGAGCCATAGGTCACGAGATATTCCCGAAAAACTGATGTTCGTGACATTTTGACTCTTATAAATTTTATAGCCGGCACAATATCAATATCAATTTTTCACATCTTCACTGAAACGCCACAATGAAGGTGTATACCAAAATTCAGCTCGATAGGAATTTTTCCGCAGATAAAACTTTTAATGACTAGACTATGACGCCAGCCTACATTTTTATACTCTGTATATTCCTGCATATTTTAGTAGACCTTAAAATTATCTTTCCAAAAATGTATCACACTTGATGTTTTGCTAGAGTCACCTTTGAAATACAGAGCTTTTAGGTTGTTTCTTGTAGACTTTGAAACGCACACTTTGATCAAGTAGGATTTGGATGACGCGGTGATAAAACTGAGAGAAATTGTTCAGTAGTAGCTATCAAATGTTGAGAAAGCTTTCCACAGCAGTAATTAAAACACGTAGTTTCAATAAAACTGACAACAATTCATAGTATATTCACTACTAATAAATGAAAATTCAACAATAATAAAAATGATAAAGAGCAAACAATGAAATATATTTTTTCAAAGAAGGTGTTCGAAATTTCTACCAGCTTCTCCTAGGCACAGGCGACACCTTTTCTGAACGTTTTTTTGCCGATTAGTTCAATAGGAGTGAGATAAACGAAACTTTGCATCACTTCCGCTTTCACTTCGTATTTAGAATTGGTCGGAAATTTGGAAATGAGATCTTTCAACCTTCCCCAGAGGTAAAAGTCCATAGGCGTTACGTCCGCTGACCTGGTCACGGTGCTTAGAAGTTATAATAATTAGGTAAAAATGGCGTTTATGTGGAAAAAACTTCCTGAGAACGTTTTTCCAGATGGATTCATCTCCAGCGATTCAAATCCAATGTGCACAGACACCGCTCTAAGAGCGCCTTAAAGATTTTCCTGTACTGTTTGTGTTTTGTCCTTATAAAAAAAACAAAGATAAGTCAGCAGAAAAGCTACCAAACTTCTATCCTGGTATTTAAGCGATAGAACCCAGGCAATACTGTATGGCGGAAAAGTTTCGAAAGTCCTTCCTATCATGCACGTAGCACTATTAGGCTGATGATACACAATTATATTTGTCATTCAAACGTGAAGAATACTCTCAGGCTATTAGTGCTTTGAATTTTGATCTATATAATCTCGAGCAATTTTCTAATAATCATTGCCTAAAACTGAATTCAAATAAAACTGTTGCAAAGAATTTACTGCAAACCACTTTGCTAGTATTCAGATTGGAGGTGGGCCTTTAACACTTTCTAATAAAGTTAAAAATCTGGGTTTGTGGATTAACGAGGATATGAGATTTTCTTATCATATCAATACAAGTATACAAAAAGCATTCTGTAATCTCAAACTGATTCATCAAAATAGACAGTTACTTAATAAAAGGAATAAAAGTTTACTATGTGACTCTTTAGTGTTATCCAGGTTAAATTACTGCGATGTTATTTACGCTCCTTGTATAAACTCCATTGATATCAAACGAATCCAAAAGCTCCAAAATAGTTGCTTGAGGTTAATCTATAAATACGATAGGATTTCGTACACATTGAAAACAAACAAATGGCTTAATATGAGTGATCGAAGGTTCCTTCACTCTGCCTGCTTCTTTTACAAAGTTTTAAAATACCGAAACCCCCCTATTTGTACAATAAGATAACATTTCGCTCAGACGTACATAACATTAACATTAGACGAAAAAGTTTGCTTTCTCCCCCAATGTTTCACACATAATTTTACAGACGTTCATTCACCCATCACATCACCAAATGTATGAATAAAATACCACTAGAGTTGAAAGAACTCTCGTTAACGACTTTCCGGACGCATATCATCAAATTTCTCGATAGATAAGTAGTAAGTTCTATTTTTTCCCACTCTTCATCTTCAGTGCGATCTGAGAATTATTAATTAGTTCGATCTGAGAATTATTAGTATACCATTCACAATGTTTAAATAACAATTATGTATGTTTCTTTGACTAATCTTTATCTTCAATTTGAACTGTGACTTATTTAGTAATTTAGCGATGGCAATGTTTATATTCCTTGTAACGTAGGTGCATTTGAAAGTAATCACTGTTTTTTTGTGTTTGTTCTGATTTGCCATTTAGTAGTCTGTTTTGGGTTAGGTGGAAGAACAGATGTCAGTCTGTACCTTCGGGTGCCGATTGCCATACTGAATCTCGCCCATTTACTTCTTTTTCAGTTCGCATGTATGAATATAACTGTAAATTAATAAAATACCTTCATTAAAGGATCTGCAGCAAATTTGGAATACTGCAGGTGAGTTGGAATACCGTGGATACCTAATTATTATAAGTGCCATCTGTGTTTTCTTCTTGTAAACGTATCGTCACACGCCATACGGAGCTGATGAGCTCTAAAAACCGACCGCCATCTTGACATTCCGGCTGCCAGCTTCGTAGAAGCGAAACGTCAAATTTCAAACTTTTTTCGGTAAGAAAGCAGTCATTGATAATCATTTACTATGATACATAAAATCTTTATTGTAATTGATTATACTAATAAGTGACCTTTTCAGTTAATGGTTTTACTTTTATTTTGTTAATATTTCTGAAATTAAAAATGTGATATGAAATTTTAGGTTAGGATGTCATGTTGTTAATTTGGAATATCGAAAGTGAATATAATTTGGGATATTCCATCTGTGATTATTGTGACTGATTATTACTTGATAATAATATTAGTGTAAGCTATTTTGTCATAAAAATTATTACCAAGAGAACTGAAAACATAATACTAAAAAAAATAAGAAATTTATTAGATAGTAAGGAAAAGTGTAAGCAGTCAAAGAAAAAAATGTAATCATAATTTGGAATAATATTTTCCAAATTATCTGCACCATAAGTCAAATGAAGCTTTTGGAGTTTTTTAGGTTGATTGAAATTTTGATAATGTTCTTAATTTTCGTTTTGTTTTATTCTTTCTATTATTGAAGTTTAATAATTTTCTTACCATTTGATGTATTTTTTATTGGGTTAATAAGCCATTTTCTTCTCTACTTATTCCCAAAAAACAAACCAGTATTTCAAATTTGCTGCAGTTCCTCTATTATTATTATTATTATCAATAATATCGAATTCGCAACGCAAGAAGAACTCTCTCATGAGTTCCGGCAGGAATCCAGACATCATAGACGGACGCTGAAGTGAACCTCTATTGAGTAGAGTGTCTTTTGTTGTCTTCCTAGGCTCAACAGTACAGTCCTCCTCCTGCATACCTATCCTCCTTCCTTACCTCCCCGGACTCCCATGCACATGTGGGTCAGATAAATTAAACATTTAATTAATAAATTTTCATTACTTGTATAACCCGAATAGAAAAATAAAGATTTCACTTTTGTTTTTTTAGGTTAATGCGACTGTCTAGAGAACAGGGGAGCCGGGTTCGAATCCCGGTCCGGTCACATTTTTTCAATTTAGTTTTTCATTCATATTTCTGCATACTGCAAATTCAACATTCCGCTGAACTCTCTGTGTATCTTGTCTGTCAAACATATTGTTTAAACAACTCAAATAATTATCTCGCCTCAAATTAATTTTATTTACAAATAATATAAATAAACGAAAATCGATCGCCGTCTTGGTCGCTGGTTCAAGCCCCAGGCTGAACGATCGATTTTCACTTGCTATCGTCCAACCCGTGTTAGGAATCACATGTTAAAAGGTAAGACCTCGTTAGTCCTTAGCTCGCACGAATTCGACTTCTGAGGGTTGTCGTTCGTAGGGGTGCGACAGCTGGTTAACGGATAACTCCAAAAAAGCATAATTAGATCGGAGCAGACAGTATATTTTCTTACGAATTTCGTTCTATCTTAATGAAGAAACGAATAATGGCGATAAAGACATCCAGAAAAGGATTGCTTTAAGAGAATCAACCTCACACTGCTTCACTGAAATCCGAGCCATTTGGGCTCTAGCTCCAATAGATGTTATGATGAAGCTGGTCAGTCATACCAGCATCATTTTTTCAAAGCATATCACGATTTTGTGATGTATTTTAAGGCATACAAGCATATTTAATTCATGTGACATGTGGCTTCAAATTTCTAGGTACATTGAAGCAGCTACCCTTCTATTTGACCCTCTCTGCTATATATTCGTTCAACTGAATTAGTTGATAGTAAATAAATTTTTACACGAATTCACGTATGTTTCGATCTATGATCTTTTGGAATGACCATTATATTTACTATTATATTTACTGGAGGACTAGAAACTTTGCAAAAATAGTATTATCGAAAAATATCATTCAAATCACTATATATTGAAGAAGCTACTGTGTTAGCGAATCATGTCAGTAGTCGCGGATTCAACTCATGTCTTGATATATTTTTCAAATAAAGTTAGTAAAGATCAAATCGTGAGGTGTACTTTATAAAATTATCGAAAGATGTACCTTCGGTTCCTCCAAACTCCAGTGCGTTTCCTACAAGAGGCCATCCTGGAATGTGCGTCACCCAGTTCAATTTTTGTTTAATGGACAGAAGGTTGTACCATCTATAGCCCAGGACGGCTACAATAACAGCGAATATTGTCCCCAGAACAAAGCTCATGTTCACGGATCACTCACAAACTGACTATTTCAATTTGGAAATAATGTTTCATAATCTCGATGAACAATCATCTTACAGGTCCGGCTGTAGGAATTTTCAGTGAATACACGTATAGATCTTCCACTGCGTACACGTGTAGATCTTTCACTGCATCTTTCAAAATAATGAATATTTCTAAATGTTTCTTTTTCGGATTGTTACAAACAAATATATGGTTCTACCCCCGTGGTTCTACCCCCAAGAAGAGGTAGATGTTACCCTTAGAATCTTAAATGGGAAGGGGTGTCTAGTGGCACATCACTTTGATTGGCGGTCAATTCTGCTGCCACTGATACCCTGACATTTTGTTTTTTTGATGAGCAGTTTCCGAAAAATAGCGTTCTAAACTTACACATGTAATTAGAATTTGCCTTATTTGCATTATTGAATTGACTCCTTTCAATAAAAATAGTTAGAAGAGTAGGTGACACCGTTCTAACCCTTGAATGACAGGAATAAATGTATTAAGTGTGGGATTCATTATTTGTTGGTTATTGTCTTTTTACAAAATAAAATTTGATTTGCCAGAAAGACATTTCACACATAAAATATACTCACGCTCATATTAGTAACTGTTCGAAATGTCGTTCATTTTGCTCTAAACAGTATTAAAGTCTGTTTTCGAACTCCCCTGTAACATTAGGGAAAAACTTCACTAGGAATTACTGGCATGCTCCTGTAATTCGTCTTTTAAGTATAAGTTTAATATCAGAAGGTTGTGTTTTATGAACAACGAATTCAAGATGCCCCTAGAGAAAGAAATCTAAAGGTATTAAATCCGGTTATCTCGGAGGCCATTCAACTGCTCCTCTTCTGCCAATCCATCTATCCGGAAATGTCTCGTTTAACTACTTTCGGACGGGAAGAAAATAATGAGTTGAAGTACCGTCCTACTGGAAATGTAACAGATACCTTGATTAATCACCTCAACAATAATAGATTCTACACAATTGCATATGCAGAAGACATAGTTATCTTGCAGACTGGCAAATTTGTGAACACACTGTGCGATAGAGCGCAGGATGGGCTCAAATTGATAGAAACATGAATACTGAGATGGTCCTTTTCACCAGGAAAAGGAGTTTATCGGGCTTAAAACTTCCCGAAATCTTCAAAAGCAAACTAAACTTCTATGAAGAGCTGAAATACCTTGATACTATCCTCGACAGAAAACTAACATGGAACTCTCACCCACAGAGTAGAGCAAAAAAAGCAGTGGGACGCGCATGGGGTCTTTCACCCCGTGTGGTCACCTGGATCTACACTGCAATAATAAGACCTAAGTTAACATGGGGACCGAAAGTTCTACAAACAAAGGCCATCCAAAAATTATATCAAATACAGTGACTGGCTTGCTTAAACATCACAGGAGCCATGAGAACAACGCCAACTGCGGCAATGGAATTGATTACAGGTCTGACCCCTCTGGACCTGTACGTTAGGGAGGTTGCGTTAATGGCCGTGGTACGATTGCGCACGGCTGGTCGAAGTAGGAATGGGTCAATTAAGGCTTGGCCTATGGCGGGAAGCGCTTACTGCACAACCTCTGCTGCAGGCAACCAGTGATGCAACTGAACCCAGGTTTGTGTTTGATAAACCCTACAAAATACAAAGAAAATAGAATACAGAGTCAGATGCTACAACTACAATACGCATATATATACAGGCGGCTCAAAAACCAAAGATGGTTCAGGATGTGGAGTGTACTCCAGATCAATAAGTCTAAGTATTAAGTGGGAAATGGAAAAAAATACCAGCGTGGTCCAAACAGAACTGGCTGGTATCTCAATCGCCACAAAATAAATAACCACGAAAGGAAATTCTGGCAAAAACATAACAATCTGCACTGACAGCAGAGAAGCCCTATTAGCATTCAACAGACAAAGTGTAACCTCAGGGCTAGTACTAGAGTGTCACCAAGATCAACCCAATGCCTCGGTAGATAATAACATTATCCTGAGGTGGGTTGAAGGGCACGACAGGAGTGAAAGTAATCGCATTGCCTACTCTTTAGCCAAGGAAGCGGCTGGACTAAGAATTTTAGGACCCAGTGGCACCTACGGCCTGATGACTTCGACAATTGCGGAACTAACTAAACATCACACCAATGCTCAATGCCTAAAGAGATAGGATGGAATCAAAGGATGCAATCTTGGGAGGATAACCCTTGGCGACCCTGGGAAGCTGGCACCGAAGAAATATCTGGCGATGACCAGGAAAAGTCTACGCTTAACAGTAGGATTTCTGACTGGCCACTGTCAACTAAGGAAACACCTCAATAATATGGGGCTCTATGCAGGATGTGTGAACAGGAATATGAGACTGTCAGGTATGTCCTATGCGAGTGCCCGGAGTTATCGTCAATAAGAGAGTGTGTGTTCGGCGAGTCTTGGCCTACACCTGCCGATATAAAGAAGATGTCTCCCAGTGATCTGTCCACCTTCCTGGAAAGTACAGGATGGACGATGACCTAGGAGGACAACTCCTCGGGAGAATGTATAATGGGTTACATGTGGCCTAAGTGCTGTTGGCTTATACTCACTCTCCCTACTCTACAGATACAGATACAGATGTAACAGACAATTCATATGAGTTTCTAGCTCGTGAGTTATAAGAGGATCGATAGTCTCTCCAAGCATTTCAAGGTACGGATTGCCATTCAAGTTTTCTTTCAGAAATAATGGACCAATAATGGCATTTTCAAGAATACCAGCCCAACAGAATATTAGAGATGGTATTGACTCGCTGAGACATGATTCCACAAAACTCTATTCTTCTATCATAATCATCCTCGTAAAGCTCTTGAACAATCTGCATTTTATAAGGATCAAATTTATGCATTTACAATGATTCTTTTACAGTCTCGCGTGATATTTCCGTCTGTTGTGATACTGATTTCACAGAGATCGTAGGCTCTGCAGCAAATGTTCCCAAAACTTCAATTTGTGCTGCTTCATTTAGTACTCTAGGGTTATTTTATTTTTTATTTGTCACTGAACCACTTTCGTAAAACTCATTCAGCAAATAAAACATATGCCAGTGACTTAAATTACAATTTGGATGTCTCTCGATAAAGAGATAAGCCGCACTTCGTGCACACTTTCCAACTTCTCCATAAATTACAATCATTTCAATTCTATCTTGATGAATGTAAACCATTTTTACAGTATTATACACTTATTAAAGTAATTAAAGTAGGCCCAACCGGTACAACTACATGCACAATACTACCTAATACCACATCGTTCAAACTTGCGAACCAAATTTTTGCCTGAAATCAGAAACTTTTTACAGCAGAAGTAGAAAAAATGGACAGCTATCTGTACACTTCTGTACCCCTAATAAAGGGTTGGAACGGTACCACCTAATATTCTCACCAGTTCTGGTCAAACCATGCATCTCAGTATAGGCGTACTAATATTTACTTCTGTTAGATCAAAACGCTATTCCCCTTCCCATTTAAAGTTCTGAGGGTAACATCTACCCCTCCTAGGAGATTGAACCACGAGAGCTACAGATAGTCTCCCTTGACTATAAAATCAACCTGTTACTCCGATTCCCCATATTGTTTACTGGAAGGAAGATATTAAGAATGAGAAGTTTTCAAATTGACACCCTGTATAAAATTATGATCTAACAAACTTAACTCACAATTATTTAGAACCATCATAAATATTATTGAAATATATACCAATGTCGATATGTACAAAATTGAATATTTTCGGAAATTAATATTGTCGACAATTTGGCTAACGAAAATAATCATTCTGTAACGTACGAAAAATCTACAACAAAAATTGTCATGGAATGAAAGGATTTTCGTGATCATTAAGGGACTGTAAAACTGCGAAAATAATATTCCAAATCGACAACAACGATTGATTAGTCCGATAATATAATCAATCGAACTCATGTCAAGGAAAAATTTTTGAGAGGTGCTTAATGTTATCGGATCAATTTGACAAAAGTTCGTAGTACAAATTTTGATATGATAACGCTAATAATATATAGATACGTATATCGCTGTGAAAAGTATTACCTAACGAACGAACTATTTAGGAAGTGACAGCAAAGTGGCTAACTTTCACTTCTACTGCTGGACTCCTCTTATGAAATATGTGAAAGGAATAGTTGATTTTTGATTGAAATCAATTCAAACGCAATTGAGTTCCCACCATAAGATTTCCACTCTTCAGTTTACGGAACCGAAACATACGTTTCTCTATATCAAATCGTCTGCAAGATATGTAATACTAATCTAAATTCAGATCAAGATCTTCAGATGATCTGGTGCTGCAGGTTTATCCGGGTTTTTCTGCAGCTGAAAAAGCAAATGCGTCAATGGAGTCAATGAAGTCGACCCGGAGCGTCAATTAATTTTTGTTGTTTCATAATTTCATGATTTGTATCATTGACTTTTTAAAATAACTATACATGATTATTTTTAGTGCTAAAACGAGGTGAGTGGTAATAAAATGGCATCTTTAAATTGTACATTCCAACAAATATATTGATAGTTTGAAGTATATTACTTATGTTACCTACTTTATTAATTGTAACAATAACCATTCTTGAATCGAAGAGGTTTTGTATTAAAGTGTATAATATTTTTAAATTCTTGCAAAGCGCTTTCGACTTTCGTAATCATCAGTGCTCACCTGAAAGTAAGTGATCTAGTTGAAAAGGGAATTTAGTGGAATTGAAGTTGTAAAATTTTTTAAGGTTAAGAAATTTGGAAAAATAGTTTGAGATTACTTACTTGTCAGGCAACAGGAAGTATCAAGATAAGTGAATTGTACATTGTAATATTTGAATTATATAAAACAAAATAGGCTTATAGCCAATGAAATACATTTTTGGATTGAGGCCATGTGGTTCAGTCAAAGTATCTTATGAAGAAGGACAACTTGAGACAGAATGTGTCAAGAGTCATGTTAAAATAATGGTACCAACTTGAGAAGTGATCCATTATGGGTTTGATTGAATATGTAGAGGAAAATATTAAATAAA